GAAAATCTATCTATGTGGTTGCTAAGACCAACTCTTGATGGCACATAATCAATCAATCAATAAATCAATCAATTAAATGAATAACAACACAGGCCTACCTTAGAGAATTGTTATAAAGGTTCCAAAGTTAACATAAGTGAGGAAAATATTAACAAAATCCCTCAATATTACAGTACTACTTGGAGTGAAACAGAACCAGTGTGTTCAAAGCTGTGGCAGCACTCATAATCTATTTATAAAACTACATTGATAGAGTATCATCAGCTACTATTTGACTTAATTTCTGTTTTTGTCTTAATTTCTTATGACTTAACTTCTGACTTATTACCTGTTTCATTTTCTGGCAAAACTCAAAGCATTATGCCTATTTTGTGTGTGTGTGCATTATGCATCATTAGATATAATCTTTGAGATCAATGATGATAAACATGGGTATATTGCCACCTTAGCAACACTTCCAATAAATGAGTGCATGAAGTTAGCAATCTGAATCATTTAAAAATCAACAACCCTACTTAGACATAGTAAACATCCTTTTGTCTTTACAATTATTCATGAACTAACTTGGGTGACTCTCTTTAAAATGCACAAGTTGAACAATAAAGAAAAACTGGTGGGGGGAGAGACGGGAGACTGGTGTCAACGTGAAAGATTTAATTTGAGATCTAAACAAGAGGCCAGAACATTTTAATATGAATGGGAATTCTCAGACTCTGGAGACAAGTTCCATTTCATCTTAACGAAGTGCTGCACAGTTTTTACATAATTCAAAAATGACATTACTACAGGATGCTTTATTAAGAAGGTTGTAGTTATAGAAAACAAGCTTTTTAAACCCAGCTTATGATGAAGTCTACTCTACTCTACATGGGGGTTCACATATGCCATGAAAAAAAAAACTCATATACACTCTTTGAACATAAGGAAATAATAGTTATATGTGATTATCAACATCTACTGTCAGAATTGTATTATGCATATCTCCTGATTTACTGATCTCTGAGAGTTTAAAGTAAAGGATAGGGAGGTCTCTCCCCATGTTAACCAACAACTACCATATGACGTCAGTTGTAATCTAGACTCCTGCATGCTCTAGAGCAGTGTTTCTCAACCTTGGGAACTTTAAGATGTGTGGACTTCAACTCCCAGAATTCCCCAGCCAGCCAGGGAGTTGAAGTCCACATATCTTAAAGTTCCCAAGGTTGAGAAACACTGCTCTAGAGATATGTGGATCTTAATTCCCAGATACCCCCACCACAACCCCAGCTAGCATGAATATTGCTGAGAATTCTGGAAGTTGAAGCCCATATATCTGAAGGTCACCTAAGCTGATTCAGAAAAGCCTCCAAGTGTAAGATACTAGAAAAATTGCCCATTCCTTTCCAACAAGAATGTAACTGGCTTAAGACCATCTTTCTTTTTACAAGGTACACTTTACATAGATGAATGTTGACTCCTCTACCTGAAGTCTAAAATAGCACTGTCAATTCCAAGCCTATCACACAGGAGTTTCTGTTAATTTGTTTTTATACCTACTTCTCCTCTAAGGGCACATAGAAGTTTGGCTTTTTATTCTACTTTTTATTTCTTTACTCCAATTATGTTTTTTTTCTTTTCTCTGATACACCAAAGCAGCTTATTCGGGGATAACCTTTAATTTTAAATTAAAACGTAACCCAATAACAATTAGCAATTTCAATAGCACTCTTTTAATTCGTTAATTTAAAAAGCCCCCTTGAAGAGGTGTATTTTGTCCAACTTCCAGGCAGCCAGCAGAATTGGAGTTTTGCAGCATTATACACAAGAATTAGCCTGAACCTTAAAAAACCAAGCAAACAATCGTCCCCAAACCTAGCAGAAATCATAGGCTCTTTATTCAGTTTTTCTCTCTCTTCCCTGATATACTTAGATCGGCCAGGTTGTAAAAATACTGTTTTTAATTGCACTCCCACAGCGTAATCCGTAGCAAACAATTATAGCCTTCCCAATCCAATGTCCATCAAATATGTTGGATCAGAAGGCCTATCACCCTCAGCCAACAAGCTGAAGGATGGAATTGCAGTCCCCCATCTCTGAAGACAAGAAGTTGGAAAAGCTCAACCCAACCTTTACTCCATGTTAACTAGACTAGTGATACACAAATGAATTTATAGAAGTGCCTGGTAAAAATTGTGCACCTTTTCCTGGTTGAGGTTCTAATCATCATCACAAACTAATGAATAAATCTGGCCTCTTTGTGTCCAGCAAATTTGAAATTGAGGTCAAGCAATTAAAATTCCAATGTTCAGTTCCCGTCCCTCCCAAAATCCACTTCATACCCCCCCCACTCTGAAAACGACGGCAAACAAGGAATCGTCTTTGAGTGAATTAATCTGCTGCCATATGCTAGCGGCCTCATTTTCTTCCTGTTAGTTGTGCTGACAGCCAGCCAGTGCCATGTTCAAAAGAGCACTTGATATGCGCACAATTTTGCCAAAGCTCCAACATTTCCACAATTAAGCCTTTGTTATATATTCACAGATGACATTTTGGAGGGGGAAAAAAAAAGAAAAAAAAGAAAAACTCACTTCTTGGAAGTCAGACAGACAAATGTGATCAAATCTATCAAGCTGCTTTTTTTTAACCAGCTTCTGGAACATCTTATGACTCATTCAGGTTAGCCAAAACAACAACACCAAAAAGGGGGTTGGGGGGGGAAGGAAAAAAAAAAAAAAGACTTCAAACTCCAGGTATCACTTTGATTCTGTAGGGGAACAAAAATGGGAAGTATCGGCTTATGGTACAATGAAGACAAAAGGAACGAAACACTGAAATTTGATCAAAGGCAGAGTATTATAGACTTTCTGGCTTTGCAAGAAAAGGAGGAAGAGTTAGTGTTTCTCACAAAACCCCCACTTCACCACCAGCTTCAGGAAATGACTGATATTAAAATATACACACACACAAACACCCAAATATTACTCCGGTAGTGAAAGTTTGGTTGAATAAAAATAATTAAAAAAAAAAACTTCATTTATCATAACCACAGTATTTTCATATTCCTTCCTATTGGGAAACAGCTTCAAACTCTTTCCTATGTATACACATCCACGCCCACACACAATGAAAGAGGGAGGGAGAATAACGGTTTAACCTAATGCAGATGACATCTACATCCAGATGTCTTTGTTTTATTAAAGCAAAAGGTTATGAGAAACCAGAGAATTGGAGTATTCCAACATGGAGATGAAAATGTACACTTTGGGTAGTTCTTATTCTGAACTGGAACACCCCAAAGCAATGTTTCTCAACTGTGGCAACTTTAAGATGTGTGGACTTCAACTCCCAGAATTCCCCAGCCAGCATGGCTGGCTGGGGAAGTTCTGGGAGTTGAAGTCCACACATCTTAAAGTTAGCCACGGTTGAGAAACACTGCCCCAGAGTAAGAGCCAGCTTTCCCAGCTGGGAACTCTCCAGCAGTTTGGGACTGTAGCTGCTGAAGTTTCCATCTTGGGGTAAGATTATGCAAGCACCAAACTAATAAAGGGAATAATCATCATGAGTAACAATGACAGAGTACGTGATGTATTTTTGTGTTATTTTTCATAACTGAATGCAGCACAAGCCTTTAAGGTTGCATCCCGTATTTAGATTCCTCTTCCTGTTTTATCTGTACAGTATAATAATCTTGTAGGATATCATCCAGCTTGAGAGACCGCGGTTCGTCCAAGTCCCTTGGTCAACAGCAAGGCAGAAATTTTGCCCCCAACTTTGATCAAAACCAAAACCACCACTCCCCGACAGCAACCACCAAACCCCTCCGCAAAAATCACACTGACAAATTATATTTCAGCAGCAACATCTGGAGAATTGATTCTGAAGCTGGGGGCTGAAGAGTGGACATGGGCTACAGGTTGCTCACCCTTTTTCTCTGTTCTTCGTTCCCCCTTGCACAGAATGCTTATGCTCATCTGTTGTTCACAAATGGAATCTGCCGTATCTAAATATTTGATTAATAGCCACCAGCTCTATATTAAAGAATCATCATTTGGCAGTAATTTAGTTTTGAGCTGGCAGGAGCAGGAGTTATTGTTGCCAGATACTCATCAGGAGGAGGAGGAGAGAAGAGGAAACAACTGGAAAGTTTAGA